GAAACCGACTACACGCTAATTACTCGACGATTTTTACGAAATTCCTCAAGTTGTTTACGACAAATAATGCGAAAGATGGTAGTTGAGTGAGTGAACATCAAAGAGCGGTGGAAGGAAGAAGAGATTAAGAAGAAATCGGCAGGGAGGCAGCCAGCGCAAGATGGAATGCCAAAGAAAAACACCCAAGACCCAAGCGAGACCTACAGCTGAGGAAGGGAATTTGCCGACCCAAGTTGATGCATGGCTAATTACTGCGTGGATGCACTGGTTTCCTAATAATGACGCTAAACTAGTTCCAGCATTTTACAGCCTCGCAAAATGACACGCAGAAGGGAGTGAAATTTTTGAATAAATGTGCAACACGTCAGACCTTGCCTGCGAAACAAAGTATTTTCCTTAGACCATATTCCAGGACTGAGCAGACTTACGAGGCGGCTGATTCCCTGTGATAAATGCATAAGACGCTCGGGTAATAAAAACACGACCAGTTATCCAGTGTCAGAATATCTTTGGGCTGACGTTTCTAAAAGCAACAGCGGATCAAGGCTTGTATTGAGAGATTAAGTTTCCAAACGGGAATCCTGCGTGTTATCGAGACTGCAGTAACTAGAGAAATGCAGATTCTTAGTTCAAAAGAGAAGAATCATGCGGGATGTATTTTTGTGCTACAGAAAGACAAAACCCCCTACACTTCGACTGGTACCGAAACGAGAATTTCAAACGCCGCATCCAGCAGTGACGATTAGGGAAGCTGGCACAATTACGCAAACACCGCGAATTCAAGCTGCACCTGGTGATCAAAGAGCCAGCCGCAACCTCACTCTGCGAGGAGCAAGTCAATTAGGACTTGATGGCCTGGTCTTAGGTCGGAAAGAAAGCGAGATCAGTTGGACCAGATGACATGGGCAACTTCGCAACCTCAGAAAAGCGGGTGTGCGCGAAAATTGAATATCCAAAGAAAGGGGTCAGTCGGCATTGACGAAGCGACAACCCTTTTTGTGGTGATTACGCGCATTTGAAACCGCAAAGATCGGTGTAGGTCATGGAGGCAGTAAAAGCAGCATTAACATCGGTTACTAACAGCGTTCCCAAAATCCACTGACACATCACTCTTTACAATCCAGTTGTTGCGGCAAATTTCTTCAAGAGATCGAAAATAAAAATTGATGAATTCATAAATGTGACTGGTTTTTTTTTAAAAACGCGTCTGTCGCGTAGTTGCCATGGTTGTTAGTAGATGGCGCATATACCTGTGAGAGGAGAGGGAGGGGGGCAAGAATTAGGCATTAACCGCGAGCAGGACATTCGTGACCTGGCGCGACACTGGCTCCGACGGAGCAATTAAACGTCGCTTAACGATGGAAGAAAGGCGCAATCTCACTGGCAGAGTCTCCGGGTAATTGGGGTTTATGCAAATTCACATGAAACAGCATTACATCAAATTAAAACCAGAATGAGTCCGGAGAATCAGGAATACTGCTGGGCTGGGCAACGAGCCGATTTACACGTGGAAACTTGGATTTTGGTTGGTGGAGTATCTGGTGTGGTATCGGCGATTATATTAGTTTGCGGGGTGGTGTCGAATTACGTCCATACCCAGACTCGCAACCCTCCTCCTTTCACGGTATCCTCACCGGTCATGCGGAAACGTCTGTTTCCCTCATCTGGCCGCTCAATCTTTTTGTACTTTTACTGGCTTACCCGTATTGTACGTATCAACCACCATCATTAGTCATACACAGCTCAAAGCACAGTGACGCGAAATACAACATGGCTTGGATAAAAACTATTCCCTTGTCCTGAGAGTAATCAAAGCAGAATTACAATGTGCGCATCCAACCCCCCACTACTCGTAAATCGTCGGCGAAAATGCGGTAAAACCCATCCCCAAACGATGGGTAACAGAGGACAACTACCGAATTTAAAATACGGTGGCGACACAAGGAAACAGTCACTTGAGTAACAGACGTGGATGGGGATTTGGGCATCAAAGGCGTGGGGAATCGGGGTAACCTTACAGAAAGTGCACTTCTGCGCTAAAGTGGCAGTGTGCAAGTCAAAAGTACACCACACAAGCACCACCTACATCCACGAGGTCATGTCACTGAGTAAGGCCCAGGTTTAAGAGTGCTAGACGTTCGTAGGCTTTGATCAGCCAGTCTCCGCCCGTTCGTGACTCATTAAAACGTTGCGAGGTTTCGGAGAAAGCCTCAAACAGATTCATGCTACTGCTGCACCTGGGCGACTGAAACACAAAAGCCACGTAGGGCGGGCCTCGCTGAGTTATCGTCAACGAGATGAATCCAATGAGACAAAAGCACAAATAAGAGGTGAGGGCTTCTTGAGCGAGGATTGGTTGGAACAAGTAGGCAGCACTACAGAAACTGGGGAGAGTGTTCAGTCACCTACCTTAGTGGTGGTGGGTGCTCACTTCGTCACTTTTATAAAAGGATAACGTCCTACTCATTCTGAAACCGTCGCTTTCAATGGCTATTTATAGCCGTTTGAGGCAAAAACAACACAGCCACCACCTTTGCCGAAAGCAAGCATGGCGCGATTATTCCGGTAGAACGGAGACGTCACCCGACTGCTGCCACTAGCAGGAAAAACAAACGAAAACAATCAAACCGATGCTTCAGTGTTCCCACGGTGACAAACACCGTTCTTCGCATGAGGCATAGGAATATGCGTGAATATGCACGAAGATTTGCCAGAAAGTCCTTTGACGAAAGGACACGCCTTATGCTAAACGGCAAGGGATATCGACGCATTACGTGGAACACACACACACATGTCTGAGATGTCACTGCCAAGTGTAACGGCGCTTGCTAATAGCTATAGACGTCTACATAGGTGATCTGCGCTTTGCGTGAGATTTCGCAGAGCACATTTCCAAACGTGCCCCTTTTTGGCAGCAACTCCACGGATTCCGCGTTTACACCCCACGTCCAGCGACTTTGTCGGGCTTCGGCCGTTTCAGTGGTTTGCACCAGACACTAACAATTGCCTGAAATAGGCAACAAGCCACTTTAATCGACTACGTCCTGTGGGGTCAGAAGAGACCAGTTTCTGGGTGCCTGGCGGTGGTTAGGCCCTATCAAATTACGACTTTGGTTGGGTTACACGCGATCCACTAAAGGAGCCATTTTACCACCCCTGAAAAACAATATCCCATCATATGATGCGAAAAAAAACTATTTGCAGCCCCTATTCTTGATCTAGACTCTATGGCTTGCATGTGCAGCGATAAAAATTGATTAGAAAAAGACTTATCTATTTTATTCAAGAGACGGCTGGCGTGAATTAGCGACAGATGCGGATATCCCGTCACTGTGGCCACTGTAAACTACATAGATCGCGTGCCGTAAGTATCCTTAAAGGGCACCTACGAGGTTTACACAGCGACACCCATTTGTACTTAAACGGTCGCAACGGTGAATCACGAGTGTTGTAGCGTCTACACCACACACTAAATCTTTTCGGGCCAAAGCGTTATTAAAGAACATGCTCCCGTGCATTTCATAGGAGGCATTGGTTTGCTGGGGAGAGAAGAAATCAAGACATGACGTCACTAAGGGGAACACCATGTCGGCAGGATGCTAGAATGCAACTCGAGTCAAATAACACGAACTTACAACCGCAGTCGCCTCGGCTAAGTGCCACCGATGTTGATAATCTACAAAGCGGCCTTGCCAAGTCCACTTGCGACTAACAGGCTAGGTAGAAACTTTAAAGATACTAATTTAAATTAAGCGACCAAAATCATAGAGAACGCACATCCAGGTAGTTGCCCTGGATTGACTGACTGGGCGGCTTGAGCCGGCTTCGTCTATTCGTGTAGTTAAAACGTTGGGAACCCGACGAAATGCAACGTACTCGACTACACTAGCCTACGTAAGGGTCTAGAATGAATGCCTCACTTCCAGCGTTGCTACGAGACGCGCACCAGCGATCATAGAACAAACCGCACACGACATCGACAACAACTTGCTTAGGATGGATGTGAGAGGCCTGCTGCAACCACCAGACAAACTGTCCTATTGAGCCCCAACGTGCCAGAGCATTGGGAATTTATTCCCGCTCGAAGTGGTGGTCAGGTGGCGGCCGCATTCAACGAGCAAAGGCACGACTGGGCAAATAACCACAACTGAACGAGAAAGTGGAAGAAGGTTGTAAGCGGCGGGCGTTTTTACAAAACCCCCAGCAGGTTTGCTGCAGCCCTGGTGCACACTAGGGGAGTGAGGGGGGGCGGGGGGGGGACGTACGCGAAAGATAGGCGCGTTGCCCCTGGGTGCGCGTTTTCGTGCCTTGGCTCATCACCTTCCAAACCGGCTGCCACAGCACCATAAAGTGCCTGCACACCGCGTCATCGATGCGGACGCACCCTCGAGCCGGAGAAGAGGCAACGGGTTTTTCTTTCGCTCGCAAAAAGTGAAACCCACCGGCAAGTATGCCGGGCTTCTCGTGAAAACTGCCAAAAAAGCACCAACTTTGTGCAATGCATTACTTCCCCGTTGGCTTAGGAGATGGTGCGCAAGTTCAGCCTTTGTAGCTACAAAACGGGGCTTGAGTTGTGGCGTGTGATGCATTTATTCGGCCAGAGACTACTACGGAAGGGTGGACGGGTATCCTAATGAAGACCACGTGGGCCGCCGTAGGCAAATAGATGCCTCTAGAAGGAGTGACGTCATGAGAACTAAATAGATGCATTTGAACCACATAAACCAGATGGTTATTGCGCATACGCTGGTAACGGAAGATGTAGAGGGGAATCACACGCGCTGTTTAGAGTAAAAAAGGTGAGAGGTGAAGAGTCCAACAACAGAAACGTGGTAGGAACTCGCTTCTCAAATCAAACACTGAGGTCCTGCTGGACACACCTGTGACATAAAGGGAGACACTGCTTGTCTACGCATACGTCAAATTATCCCCATTCCACTTTGCCAAAGCACAGTTGCGGGTTGGGCGATTTCCACTCCGAGAGCACGGGCACAAGATAGCTAGGCTCTGGTGTCGAAAAAAAGACTCACCGCAATGCATGCGTCGGAGGACTCGGTGAGTCGATGAAGCTCGGCGGTCACGGCCTCTTGGGCGCTGTTCAACTCCTGCACACAGAGACTGGCCTTGTAGAGAAGGATTTCGGAGCAGCGCTTGATGGCCACCGAGAAGCTGATGACGTTGTGCGAGAGAGCGGCACTGCCACCACCGCCAGTGCCTCCTCCACCACCACTACCTGAGTTCAGGAGGCTGGCATCACTAGAGCATCCAGTATCGAGGCCTGATGAGAGCGCCAAGATGCCACTGCAGGCTTCTGTTGCGTGGCTCCTGGAACAACCGAAAAGCACGGGGCTTACACAGTGGCGTTCTTTACACTTTTGTTATAAAATCCCCAAGAAAAGTATATTATCGATTAATAATCGACAAAAAGTGGAATAAATGAATGCTAGTTTGCAGGAGAGGAACAAAATACAACAACACGACGATCAGAAAATTATAACTTAAAGGTTTTTGTAAGGGAAGATAGCGCCGCGCCTAATTACATATTTTTGCTACTTACGGAGTTTTATAACTACCAATGATCCATGTTTTCGACTAGTCATGACACCGATCCTAATTGAGGAATTCAACTATCAACAAGCACTACAAAAAACATTCGAAACTGGAGTTAAATATTTTATTGTTGAGAATCAAGTGTAAACACTTCAGCTGGAACGCCTGAAAGTCAGAGCCAATATACTAAGACTTGTTAAATATTGACAATAACCTGCATGCAAAGTGTAAACACTTGGTAACCCCGACAACCAAGTCATTCCGAAAGTTAAAATCACCCACTATACACACACTTTTGGCCCCAGAAGTGGTGTGCCACAGTGCTCACCTGGTACTACCGCCCCTGCAGTCGGGGCAGAATATCACGTCGCAGGTCTCGCAAAAAAGCAGCTCCTGATTGGGGTGGAAGCGGCACTTGGGCACTCGGTCGCGGCGTTGATTGGCCAGAAGGTCGAGCAGTTGGTTGACGATGAAGGCTGGTGGAAAGGTGGAGGCACCGCCGTGGGGCACCATTATTGTCTCCCGACAAATCGGACAGCGCATTGTCTCCTCATCGGGCTGCGAGTAACGATGATGAGGATTAGTTTTAGAACACACCAGTCGAGCGGCACAGCAAGCTCGGGATTTAAGGGAGATCAAATTAACTTTTCTCTCCGTAAAACTGGCCAATGATGACTTGGGATGGCACATCAGGTGGCATGACGGCTACACGGTTTGAAAAGCGGTTGAGGTAGACAGGGATCCGAAGCCAATCAATCAGCAAAGGCGCGGCTTTTGTAGCCCACGAGGACGCGGTGACAGTCATTCAAGATCAACGGACTAACCAGAGTTATGCGCAATAAACAAAACTCTCCAAACGAATAATTTCGCCGTTATGCTAAAGCCCTGGTCCAGGGTCGCTGCTTCCACATCTGGTTAAACAAACTGTGTTTCTGGGATAGAAAACAGCTGTTGTGACACAACTAGCCACGATCAAGACTAGCAGTAATGCCTGAGCCGCAAACCTAACGTGAACTTACACCTCTGTGGGAGGTCGCAGCCGCCTGTCCACCGAGGTGTCAAATTCACTCACAAATCCTGTTGGCGATGCCACAGAAACTACACGGGATGATCAGAAATAAACTCAATATCGGATATCCGATTGGATGCGATTATACACCAAGTGTAGTCTCGTATTACAATTTTCGCTGTTTTACCCAAACCTAAGGGGGTTTAAGGTTTCTGAGAGGATTACAGAAACGAGAGACACGGCATGAATTTCGTTTGCTATAATGATGCTTCACATTACTGGGCAACTGCAGCAAATGAGAGGTTTTCGTGTGTGGTAATAACCACAGTACAAGTTATTTGCAGTCAGTTTCACTGCCCAGAAAGACGCATTGTTGCAAAGAAGTACAGTTACTCCCAAGATGTCTACTTGAGAATAAAATTAATCCCAGCTAGTAAGTGGAAACTCGACGACCAGGCCTTGTTGTTCGAGGAATGCACTGCATAAGTCAATGGTTTGCGTTTGCGGTGCACCACCTCTGCGTACTCCCTGAAAGTTAAACAAGCAGGAGTGTGGCGGAATACTTAGCCGAAGGAATCGGAAACAAGTTTGAACGCTCGAAACGCGACTGCCTAAGCGAGCATTCACTCCGACGACGGTCCGTTAACTGCGTATCTCGAATCAGCCTCGGTCTGCCAACAACCCGTGAACACCGCAATTTGGTAAATCCAAGGTAGGCGGAGGAACAAGTGTTTGCGAGGAAAACGGAGTTTAGCAATCTGATAGCGTCTAACAAAGGACACAACTAAAAAACCGATGGAAAACCCAAAAAAACAGGCGGTACCGACACATCCGTTAGGGGGAGCAGGAACGCATTTCTGTACACCACAACCTCATTTCATGCCTGTTTCCTCTGCAAGACATAAAGTTAGCGCGCCTTTTTGTAAGTTCTTTCACCCCCCTTACACAGTAAAAATCTTAGCGGGTGAAATTTAGGTGCTTGGGGCCATTTCTGCCAACAGCGGCGGTTGAATTTGGTGAGAAATGCAGCGCTCCTACTTCACGATGTACACCCTCACTCTCAGAGATGGTGTTGGCATTTTTTACAACTGCAGTACTACGATCGGTTTGTTGTCTATCCTGGTCCGTCCAACGATGGAAAATACGATTAACGCAGGGGAAGAGGCATCTTGAAATAACCTGGACACTGCGCGTGGTAATAACACCTACGTTTACTACTTTGCGGGCTTCTACCAAGGCCATGAACGAACAGGAAAGGGGGCTGACGTGTGCATGCGAGGTGTCTCCGGTTAAAAAAAGAAGCGAGCAAAAGCAATCCGCGCAACAATGTGCACGAACACGGCGAATTCCGCGACAAAACAGCAGAAAAGAGGCCACTTTGCAAATCGTCTTTAAGAAGGAAGCTTCCATTCACACAGTGGCCTCGATTTACGCATCAGCAAAGCATCTGGAGGGTTCCGTTACCACTGTAAAGAAATGCATAACCCGGAGTGTGGAGTGGTTCGTGCCTTATTCGAGTTCATTCCAAACTGCCTCAGGCCGAAAAACTGGTGGCATTAGGCTTATGCTGGAGTACTTCATTCCACGCCGATTCAACCTCATTTGCCGCACACAAAGATAAGCGTTTTGACGTGGATGAATGAAGCAGGGGAATTGGCAGAAGGCCATTTTAAAACACGAACTCCATGCACATGAATAGCCCCCCCCCAATTCATTGCAACCGCTCAGCCCAAGTCAACCCGACGTTATCATCAGGGTGTTATCAAGGTTCGTGCGTATGTGTACGTACACGCCATCATCGCTAGATCACGTAACTACTAATTGGGTTTGTAATTTTCCGTGATTATCCGGGGGCGATAGGTAGGGCGTTGCATGACTTACCCCAAACAGAGATGCCGTTTTCTGAAAATCGATAATTGGAAAAAAGAGTTATACGAACAATTTAGGCGCCATCTTTTGTTGTGGGCGATGGAGGCGTCAGGTCCCCTTCAGGAATTCGTATACCATGAAAACACTTTAGGATTTTGTGACTGAAAATTCTGCGTCTCTTAGTAAAAATGACCGCTAAAACAAGGGTGATGAAAGAAGTCGAACGTTTGTGTAATAAGGCTGTTAATGTGGCGCAATGGATAAAAGCGCTTAAAATCTGGTGACAAATGAGGCTGAAACAACGACAACCCGCTTCCCCGAGCGCTGATGCCGACGAAATGCAGCAAAGTGGAGAAAACAGCGGCCACGAAGGGGAAAACCTTTGATGGCTACGTTTCAACTCCGAGCTCACACACACACACACTTAGCAATGGGGTGCTGGATTAGTGAGAGTTGTTTTACCCAGCGCGCTTGGCTAAATTTACATTTGCGCGCAACTCGCTCGCATTCTAGGCTCATTCCTCCATGATTTTTGCTAAAAAGTCCGGCCTTTACTACTGCTGCTGCCGATTTGAGCATTTGCCTTTTGGACTAAAAGCGGCAAGAAGGTCATGTATGAATTAACGATGAAGGCTGCGCCAAATGAGCATTTCGGAAGATTGCAGAGACTAAACACTACTTCTAATGTTAATGGTCATTTAAATCACGTCCGAAGGGTGATTAACTTTACGACGAGTGGGATGCGACGTTCTTATCACAACCCAAAATATTTCTCCCATCATCCGTAAAGTGATGAGTGCATTGCTTGAGACAGACGTTTCTTACGAGGTGGGTGCTTTCGCAGTAATATTTATCTTTAAAAGATTATGACAGGTGAACGTCCGTTCTCAACTGTTCGTGATAAGTAAAATATGAAAGTTCGTGTCGGAGGTGAAGGGAAGGCATGAGTCATGTCGAAACAGAGGTAAATTCGGCGGTATTGAGCTAGCATGCAATGTGACTCGAAGTAGCCGATTCGTTACAGTGCCCAACAAGTTCGCAGGTAGGTAGTTCAATACACCGGGTCAACGGTTTACGATGTTGGTTGGTTTGAAATGAGTTCTCCTTCCAAATACTGGCATTAGCAACTAATTGGGCGAGTTCAGCTTTGGAGGGCCGACACAATTTCAGAGTATGTGCAGAGTTTAAATTGTGCCAATGGAAGAAAATAAGGCCAAACATTCAGGGTAAATCCGTGTCCAAATATGCAAGATTTAGGTATCAGATATTAGAGCGAAGCAAAAAAAAACTACACTTCGTGGAAGAAGTTGTTTCGCTGACTTCCGATACTTCATTTACATTTTCATGTGCAAAACTGAAATTTAGCTAGGTCAAATAATTAAATTCTAACAAGAAATAGCTTGTTAGATTCCTTCTAACCAGAGCATTGAAAACAATTGAATAATCTTAAGTATGAAATTATTCGATGTATTTAAGCAAGTAACGTATTCGGGAGTTTGAAATTGAACTGATTCACGCATCTCCTGTAAATGTTACTTTCTTTATCGCCATTTAAAAACACCAAAGAGAATGTAACAGCAAATGCAGTGTGTACGTCCAAAAAAAGCGATGTAAGAATGAACAAGTCATCCGATACCGGATATGACTCAAAAACGTGATAAAATTCACTAATATACACATGAAAAGTATTAAAAAGATGCGAAAATCTACGTTCGTGTTTGGCTCCTTGTCGGTTAGATGTTGCGGGCTGATTTTACTCAGTATAAATCAGGGGAAATTAACCTCTCAGAATAGTGTTGTATTGTTCAGTGAAGCATGGTGTTAGACTAGACATGTGAATAATGACAAAAACAAGAATAATTAAAGCATTCAAATTCCCCAAGGCGTTTATCTTACTTCGAAGTGTGTTTAATTTAAACAGTAGGTGATAAAGTTGCGGAGGTACTTGACAATACAGAGGGAGCGAAATCTAAAAGACTAACCTGTGTTTCGAGTATTCTTTCCAAGCAGGTTCGACAAATGGTGTGGGAGCAGGGAAGCAGTTTGGCGGAGTGTGCGGCCGAGTCGTAGCCGGAGAGACAGGTACCGCACGTGAGGAAGCTGTCAGCGAAATCCTCCACGTTGATCATCATAGTCTCTACTAGGCGTGATGACATCTACAACAGTAAGGGAACACCACCATGGTCTATCTCTTGGTGGTTCAGCAGAGCAAAGGATGAAGATTGTACGCAGAATGAATTAAGCGCTGGGAGATTTGTGGGAATTTATTTCACGGGCACATGCGGGGTTTGAGTAGAAACTGAAGCGTGGGGAACACTTACGACAGAAAACGTCATTCTGGGATGGTCGTTTTTGTTTACAGTGTAACGCTGCAACGGAAAGCGCAAAATATTTCATTACAGAACGAGCTACGTACGATATTGAGAATTAAAATAATTTCTGAATTGCAGTAGCTTCACTCGTGGATTTAGCTTCGTCCAACTTTTCAAGGATATCTGTTAATGAAGCTTCTATGGATAAAGAAAAAAACGCGTTTAAACACTAAAAGTCAAACGAACAGAGATCAACTGAGCACTATCAGGGGAAGGCATCTAATGTGGAATCTTGGCATGTCAAGGCAACATGAAAGACAGTTTTATCAAAAGGTATCTTGCTAAGGGATAAAACCAAGTAATTCCCTAGAACAAAGTCCCTTTGGGTCTCATTTCTTTTTTAGACATGGAGCTAGCGTGTACAGATAGAGAACCAAGATAATTACAACAAGGCATATCAACATTTCGGAAAAATCCACAAATACATTGATTCCAAATGGTTTGATGACAATTCAGCTGGCAAGTACAAAATATTAGTTTACGAGCAGTAAGAACAGAGGACCCGGTTGCACTAACTCGTCATTGACGGTCGAAAATAGATTAAAAAAAACACAACCGACACTTCGTAATGTGGGGAATTGTTCAGCGCTGTTCTAAAGGTTAATGCGATATAATACGATTTGTTACAATCTTGAGTCGCAGCGTCAGCTTATGCCATGTTGATAGTGAGACTTTACTTTGATCAGCTCCACTTAAAGACACATATACAGTTGCCTTTAATAAAATATCCGAAAAAGTTAAACTGGTGCTAGACCCAATAATTAAGCAAGAATAAAGGTCTACACATGAGTAAGGCTAGATTATTTAACCTTTACAGACAATGGCAAACATTAAAGAAATCCGATGCCATATCTAAGAAAATAAATAAGGAAAGAAGGCCTGTACTTGCTAACAAACGGTAAGCCCGTGTATTGACATCCTTTGAATTAATGTATATATTTGAGTTCAAATACGAAGTAAACCCACCCTCTTTCACTGACAACCTAACAACCATCACACACCCGAAGGCCTAACAAATGGGCTAGTTGTTGCCAAAGGACTGGAAAAGATCCCCCCACTTACGCTATTGGTCAGTGTAAGGTCATTGGCTCTAATCCAACAACTTTATATTTAATTGGTGGATACGTGATTAATTCTGGATTTAAAAATTTTATAACGTTTTGTCTTTTTTTATCTTAAATACAGTAATTTTAAACTATCGGTATGCATTCTTCACTGAACGGACTAGAAATAATTTAAATATGTAAGCTCCAATATGAACTAACTCAACTGCATTCAAAATGTCTTATTTGATATATCAGCGGCTTAAATACAATGCTCAGTTACTTTAAACTTATTCGGCACAAAACCATGTTGCATGATCCCAAGTTCTTGCGATATGCTTTATTAAGGACCATTAATCGCAAGAACGAAATTGAATGTACCAGTTCTTGCATTTTTAACGTGAAGATTTGGTGCTTTTTAAGTCGTTCTTTGAACTGGCATCTGCCGAAATTAATTAATTTTTTAATTTAAAGTATCAAATAATATTCAGACAGTCTTATAAAGTCATAAGTATTAAGACCATAGCATTTATTTAAAAAATTACGCGAATTAATAGGGTATTGCGTGTTCTCCAGTTTTTTAAAGTCTCTGATAGAGTTCTGTCTCAAATTGTTATTTGAAATCTACTCAATTAGAATTTCAATGGGACCCTGCCAGTTTCATCCAAGCACTATATGTTCACGAATATTTTTCGTCTTAGTTTGCGCTTACGTAAGGCAGCCATTCACTATCAGTCTGTGATTTCAAAAATGGCAACGCCAGCAATTTATGTAGGGAGTCGTTATTATGGAATCCCAATGGTGGCCGAAGCAGACCACATTTTCAAATCATTGGATTATTAGCAATTCTTTCGTAGGCTCCTAGTTTTCACAACATCTACTCTCGTAGTATGTAACATCTCCCTATGTTTGCAGACGCCGCCTCACGTGTGTGTACCCTATAACAGCAACATGCATTTGAATACGTTGAAGGACTTACCTGGTTGGTTTATGATAAACAGTTATGGCAAATTTTAAATAAGCAGCACGTAAATAAGTGGTTTATTTACTAAAATTTTAGTTGTTTTATTCAACAAACTGTTTATTTGTGACTGGTCCTTACACGCCAATCTAACTCATTTTCTTCCTCTTTCAAAATTATGTGTTGCTGCATGCGCGGATTTATCTTATGTTCTTCGTTTCAACATAAAGTCTATAACCTTCCTATTCATGTTCAACGGTACTGGTCTTAATCTGTTTTTTTGTTTCTTTACGTAACCTATGCAAGTTTAATAATCTTTTTGGGGTACCGAAGGGTTAGTTATGAGAACCACTTACGCTTTTAATGTAGCTGTGAAAACTATCAACACTTACCATGCAAATTTCAAGGTTGTGTTTCCGAGCAATGAAATATAATTTAAATTTAGATGCTAAATTGTTGAGTCCTATTATTTTTTTAATTTTTAGGGCAGCGTTCCAAAGACCTAAACCTAAAGCACTAAAGACGCATGCGTAAAAAGCAAGATGACGCAGCTAAAACTTAAGTCGATGCCTCCAATTTGGCCCTTATATTGACTCTGCTACTATTTTTTGCTACATTCAGGGCTAGCCTACCAATCGTTGGTTTTTAAAAAAAATGCAATTTAACTTTCAATTAACCAGAGCATGCTTTCAAACCTCGACGCTCTTGCTTGATGCTTTTTCTGCACACCACAAACACGCTGATTTCCAAGAAGACGCTTTAAACGAGTGAATAGTTGGATTGAGCACTCTAAATGACTAAGATGCCAATTTACGCATTTTATCTAACGAATGTTATGAAATATCAATTAAACTACCCCAAATTTTTGTATCCATGCCATGAGGTTTGTCACGCTAACTGGATCGGTGCCTAATTAAATGTCGAGTGGCCTTTCGTTTTATCCAAAAACATAGAAATATCTATAAAAGTTTGGATTCATGCCTTTGTGTGATGAAAGATAGTTCGTGGTACTGTCCTCTAATCGACGAATGTCAGGGAAACATCACATTTGGCAAAGTTTGTGCATTAACTCAATTTTCTGAAGAAAACAGAAATAAAAGTGCAGGCTTTATTGATAAGCCACGATCCATTACGGTCCGTCAGGCGATGTCCACCCAACTCCCCTATGTTGGTTGTGCCCCTTGTTACACGGTTCTTTTCATCCAGCATTGTCTCTGATTGGCTACTGATCTTCAACGTAAACCACTCAAACGCAGAGATAAGGGATTGGTTGACCTCAGTATGATCCAACACATCTGAGCTCTTGTGCGGCACTCGCATTCTTTGCCTACTTATGCATTAATTTCGCGTGCGTCCTTTCCGCTTCAGAACCAATATGACGGTGGTTTTTTAAGCAATTGTCGCTTAAACTAATCAGTTTGAGAATTTTTTTGATCTAATTAATGACTTTTGCTTTGAGATTTGGTATTTGCAATATTTAAACAAGCTTATCGTGAATACTATCATAATTGATAGCTTTAATACAAAATTGCATTATTTTGACTAATTATAATTCGACCTGGTGACAAACTTTTATTTGTGTTAAGTAGTATAGAGGCTTGAGTTGAACACTGCTTTACAAGCCCGCTAATCGACAGTCCGTAACAGCCCGAGAAGAAAGACAAGCCCGATGGTGGCGAATATATCGATTAATTAGCATTTGACCACCCAAATCTTCTAGAGCACAGCGCGTGAGTGTATCTTGAACGTCAACTGTAATTGGAAATCGATGACGTTCGATCGACTCGTGAATACTCTCCGCTCGCGCTCGTTTGATGAAAGTTCAATACAGTAATATTAATTGTTACTTTTATTTCCATTTCCGAGGTGAAACCAACGGCATTATGAGCCTTCAATTCATGACAGTCTGCCTATCCGAAATGTAAATACATTAAAAAATTACAAATCACAACGTATTTTTAGCATGTGGAGCTTCCCACCTTGGCAATTTTGTACAAATTAATAATGCGTTGTGGCAAAGTTTAACGTGAATATCAAGCGAAGAATGAGGAGATTGTTGTGGGTCCCAGCGCGTGGTCTTGAACAACGACGGGGCCACAAAATTACCTTCGGCCCGATTACGCTTCTCTGGTACCCGCGATGAAGAAAAAGATCAAGGAGGGCGTGGACACAACCGTTTACTCCAGAGCTCAACCCCGTTGGTGTCGTGATTGGCATTTGCGCGTGTTTATTTATACCTCAGATGTGTGAGTCCTAGATGAGCTTACGTCGAGATGTATGTGTGAGGAGAATCCAGGATAAATGGTCGTGTTTATGAGGAGGGAGTTGAGGATCCGCGCGGCTGACTACATTTTGCGAAAAGGAGGACCCTGTGTCGGAGGCTGGAGTGATCGGATTAGCGTGTGAAGCAACGCGATTCACAAGATCATGAGTGAAGGAGAAGGTAGACATAAGTCCTCATATTATTAACAGCCATTAGCATGTGCCGAAGTAAAAACGTATGCAGGTCATAGGGATAGAATCACTGCAGACAATACCAATGACGAGTCCGTATAAAAGGTATAATATCAAATTACATGGGGGATGATCTTCAGCAATAAACATACATCGATCCGATTGTGAGTTATTTCGTTAGTGGGCGAAGACCATAATTTGTAGAAATTCTTGTTTCAGGCAGGCACAATTTAATTCAAACTCAGTTTATGTGTTTATCAAGAACTCGGTATTTGTGACTCCTGGCATCTACAACGTACAAGTCAAAATTACACAATTATTACATG